ATGGTGCCCGGGTACAACTGTCATCCACTTGGAAGAGGATCTATGTAGGAGATCCTTGATAGAGAGGGAGAACAATGTGGAACAAAACTCAAAATCATTTGGAGGAAAAAAAAAAGGGGGGGTGACCAGGTTTGCTGGTCTGATAGAGCCCAGTGGAATCGCTGAGACTATGGCCCCTAGCTGCCCTTCAGGTCTGGAAATGAACCCACACCTGTGGTTTCCAGCCAAACAAAAGTCAGGCATATGAGTTGAACATTTACCTGAGGTAGATACACTCCTTGGAGAAAACAATCATGGGAGAAAGAAGGGCTGCTTATACACAGGGAAACAGCTCAGGGGGCAGGAGTGTATGGAGGGATGGATACAGTGAAGAGGTAACTATGGGGAGGAAGTGGGGGGGAGCTGTTTCATGGTGGTATATTGTGGTCAATGTCATGAGACAAAGTGTATATGAACTGCTGTATGGAAAGTGAATTTGCTATGTAAATTTTCACCCAAATCACACACACAAACCTGTACATAAACCAAGAGGTATCCTTCAAGCAGAAGGGGAAACTTTGTGGTTTAAAATCAGGAAAATTGTGTCAGGGTTGTATTCTTTCACCATATGCAATCTGTGAACTCAGCTAACAATCTGAGAAGCTAGACTATGAATTTAAAAATGGTGTGATGGAGGAGGCATCTGACCTCCTCTAACTTTACAGGGGGGAGAAGGATCATTATCAGCAGCCCAAGGCTGATTCCTGAGGCAGAGATCAGATATACATCCTCTAACTTTTTCTTCTTCTTTTTTTTAACCAATTCTGACACAACTGTCCCTATCACAGCATCTCAGCTTCTCTTCTGGGATTGATAACTGGCCACAGAGAGCTAACAGACAACACTCAAAATTATGAGGTTTATTAGGGAAGTAACAGGTTACAATTTAAGATGAGAAATTACTTAGGATACAGTTCTTTGATCAGGATAGCCTCTTTTTAGCTGTGCCTGCAAGCATGGCTCTCTGGCCCTCAGCCTCATTGCAAGTTGGGCAAGTGTTACAACACTCTTAGCTATGTAAGTGCCCAGAGGCACCACACTGAACCAGTAAGCCTTGGGCCAAAGGTGCCCAGCTTTAGCTCCGTGGGTTGGCAAATCTAGTTCCATCAAGTGCCAGGAAACAATTTACTCTGCCAGCAAGTTTCCTGCCCAAAGGTGCTCAGCTTTCTTGCTTTGTGGGCCAGAAAGCCAACTGCACGTCTCCTGGTTCTGCTGCCTCTATCTCTCTGATGCCACTTAGTGCCAACTTTCTGGTGTTACAACTACTTCCTGGATCTAGGAGGAACCCAGCTTTTCTTTTCTGGTGGTAGATTCCCTCTCTGGTTTGGAATTGGTTTTCTCTTAAGCCTAATGGGATGGCAAAACTGACCAATCTCCTTATTAGGGTTCCATACACCTTATTTGCATTGTCCCACTCTCATGAGGGTGCCATGAATCTTATTTATATTACTAGCAAGCTATCCAATCCTCTTAGTGGGTAACAACGACCACATTTGCACAGTCTTATCCCGAGGGCTGGCCGTGCATTCCCTATGGCACTTGACTGCTAACCAGAAGGCTGGCGGTTCAAACCCACCACCACTCCTCGGAAGGAAGGTTGGGCAATCCACCTCCATAGTGATACCGCCTCGGAAACCCAAGGAGGGATTTCTATGAGTCATGGACGACTCGACCGCACTTAACAACAGCAACAACATCTCATCATTTGGTGGGAGTTACAAAAAGTATGGCTAGAAGGGCCACATTAAGTAACTCACTGTACTGCAAAAGAATGCATCATCAGGATTGGAGGAAGATTCATTAACAACCTGTGATAGCCAGATAACACAATCTAGCGTGCTGCAAGTGAAGGGGATTTGAAGTACTTATTGATGAAGATCAAAGACTATAGCTTTCAGTATGGATACCACATTTCATATAAAGGAAACAAATTCTCACAACCAAGACAAGAAGCAACGTAACGATAAATGGAGAAAAGACTGAAGTTATCAAGAATTTCATTTGACTCATATCTACAATGAACACCAATGAAAGCAGCAATCAAGAAATCAAATGACAGATTGCATTGGGCAAATCTACTGCAAAAAACCTCTTTGAAGCGTTAAAGAGCAAATATGTCACTCTGAAGACTAAAGGTACACCTCACCCAAGGTGCACCATGGTATGTTCAATCTCTTCCTATGTGTGCAAACCCTGGACAATGAATAATGAAGACTAAAGAATTGATGCCTTTGAATTATGGTGTTGGCAAAGAATACTGACTATACCGTGGACTGCCAGAAGAATGAGCGAGTCTGTTTTGCAAAAAGTAGAGCCAGAATGCTCCTTAGAAATGAAGATGCCAAGACTTTGTCTTACATACTTTGGCATATTGTCAGGAGGGACCAATCCCTGGAGAAGGACATCATGCTTGGTAAAGTAGATGGTCGACAAAGAGGACCCTCAATGATATGGACTGACACAGTGGCTGCAAACAATGGGTTCAAACATAGCAATGACTGTGAGGATGGGCCAGGGCCAGGCAGTGTTTGTTCTGTTGTACATGGGGTCACTATGAGTCAGAACTAACTCGACAGCACCTAACAACAATTTCCATATCACTCTTTACTTCAGCATCTTGGATGAAAATTCTATTTTCTGCTAAACTCTCCTTGCCGCTTTCTTTTTTATACACTCAAAATACTCACAAAGAACACAGAAAGCTTTTTAATTATATGCAATTTTAGAATGCAAACTATTAACAAACATAAACAAGTAAAAAGAATACTTAGCCTCTTCATGTCCTAAGTCCAGGGTTTAGGCTATCAACTCAATGTTAAAAACCAAAGCACACTACAGACATCAGAACATACAGAATGAGTGGTATTTTCCTTCAATTTCACTATCTTGTGAAGTAATGTGTATATATCCCAATTATGCAAATAAATGCTTAAAATGCTTCTACCTAAAATCAACTTCAGAGCCACACTAGAAAACTGGTCTCATGCCTTTATAAGCAGAGCCCAACTTGGTCCCCAAAATGTTTCATGGGACTTGGTCTTGAATGAGTGTAATGGTTCAAAAACTGTAAAACACCTTCAGAGGTTGAAGATTTTGGACCATGAAGATGTTCATTCGTTCTGAAGGTCATTCTGAAAAAAAAGTTTCAAGCATTTTGCATATTAATGGAAAAAGTATCTTAAGTGTCAATGGAACTTTGAGGGCAGTATAATATTCTTTTGGAAGGATAAATTTGACACTCTTAGGAAAAAAGCCAAAGTACTTTACAGTCACCTGGTCACCTTCTAAGGCAACAGAGCCTCCATATTGTCAGTCAGAGAGCACTAGCTCAGACTGCCAGGCAGTCACCATGTGCAGGACACTCTTCCCATTCCTTTCATCTTGAGTGGCTTGTGCCAGAAGAGCTGCATAAAGTCATTGATAAGATCCAGGGCAGTATGTGCTAGGTGGATTTCGTAGTTGAAGCTTAAGCAGTTTTCGAGCTGGTGACGGATCTAATTGTTGCATGCTCCTCTTCCCTGCAAAGGGACCCCAAAAATAAAATTTCAACTGAAGTCATATAACATTTATTGCAAACCTACTGTGTGGTCACATGCCAGACACTAAAGTGCACTACAATAACAAATAAGCATCCTCAAGGAGATGGCAATCAGTAGGAAAGCCAGCAACAACCACATTCTGTGTTATGAAAATTAGGGAGTGTATAGCAAATAATTTAGGACTGCAGGAGATGAGGAAAAGCTACAGAGAAGTAATGTTATTTGATTTGATTCTTGAAGAATAAAGAGGAAAAACGAATTTCTTAAGACTTGGATTTACCGAATGAACAACATGGTTCACGTGCCAGTGTCTTCTGTGGAATTTATATCTGGAAATTTCCCAACTATGAGTATCTACAACATACGAGAGAGAGAGAGAGAGAGAGACAGAGAGAAAGAGAGAGAGAGAGAGAGAGTGTGTGTGTGTGATCATCTGAAACAGTTATCTTCTAGGACCATATGCTTCAAAGGGCATTTTGTGCCTAAAGGACTGGCTATCAGATATGAAACAGCTCAGTGCTATATCTCGAGAGGCATGCTTACCAAGCTGTACTGACACCTTCTGGAGACACTGGGTACTTTCATCCATAAAGGCATGCAGCTGCTTCACTGATCCTTGCAGTTCATCCATCTGCAGACAACAGACAGCTGTAAGCTGTAAAGGGTCACTGACTTCTTTGCTATTCCTCAAACAGCCAGGCAAGCTCTTGAGCTTTTCATCTGCTGTTCTATCAAATTGGTATGCTTATGCCCAACATTCTGTTTGCTCCTCCAGATCCACACTCTGCTATTCTCAATCTCCAGATCTGTGCCCAGAGCTGTATCACCTCTAACAACAGGACCCCATGTCCTCTGGCTTCTGATTGGTTTGGTCAATAGGGAACACAAATGAAAGGGAGCCGAACAAGGTCAGAGTATTACCCAGGATTGCTCCTGAAAGGGTCATCTTGAGTTGGTTGTGTCTGCCAAATGAAGATCATGGCACCCCCAAAGCAGCAGGTGTCACAGTAACAGCTCCTCCTATTATTTGTTTGGGCCTACAGGTAGTAATAGCTCAGCTGCCTCAAACTCACATATTACTTCATGAATTCTTATAGTTTCACAATACCCATACCTTTATACATTAAAAAAAATAAATAAAACTTGTCAAGTTGACTCTGACTCATGGTGACCCCATGAGTGCAGAGTAAAACTGCTGTATGTTTTCATGGCTGTGAACTTTAGGATGCAGATCACCAGCCCTTTCTTATGAGGTACCTATGGGTGAATTCAAACCACTAACCTTTTGGTAAGTGAGAGCTTAAAATTTGTGCAACACAGGGCACAGTGTTTTTCAGAGTCTCTCTTAAATAAATTCCCCTTGAACTATCCTATTTCAAGTGCCATCTGCATCCTCCTGATACGTAGATAGATAAAATACTATTCCTACAAATGTCATTATAATTCATTCTCTCATTCAAATATTTAATTAAAATGTTACCTGGGAGATGACTTCAATAACCACCCTATATAAAATAGCAACCTCATGCCCATCACTGTACCCTTTATGTCCCTTATCCTTGCTTTAGGAGCTCTGGTAGCATAGTGGCTAAAGCACTTGACTGCTAACCAGAAGGCTGGCGGTTCAAACCCACCAGCCACTCCTCGGAAGGAAGGTTGGGCAATCCTACTTCCGTAGTGATACTGCCTCGGAAACCCAAGGAGGGGTCGCTATGAGTTGGGGTCGATTCGACGGCACATAACAACAACAACAACAACAATCCTTGCTTTATTAGCACTTACCACGATATGTTTACTTATTTTTATTATCTTTCATATTTCCCCCAGGTGGACTCAAATATACTCACCTAATTACACATATTCTCCAGGCCTTTTAAACTTCCAAGGATGACAAGGAAGCAAAACTAAATAATTCAACCAAGTAAACATGAGCCAACTTACCACTAATTCCATACAATCAAAGACCTTATTGTGGTTCTGTAATATTTTTTGGTAGTCTGGTTTTGTGTTTAGAATTTCACTCTGAGAAGATTCAAGATATGCTGTAGGTTCCACTTCAACTTCAATAATTTTTCCTTCAGTTGATGTTCTAAAAATGAAACAAATTAAAGAGCTTTTAAGGAATTTATAATCATTTTCTGAGGAAGGTAGACCAATGATTACCTTACGAAAAACCTCTTATAAGGTTCTATTAACTGGAATCGATTTCTTTCAATCTACTATAGGTATCCAAAACCAAACCAAACCCACTGCCATCTAGTCAATTCTGACTCACAGCAACTCCCACTGGGTTTCCAAGGTGATAAATCTTTATGGAAGCAGACTGCTCTACCTTTCTTCTGTGGAGCACCTGGTGTGTTTGAACTGCCAACATTCTGGTTAGCACTCAAATGCCTTAGGCACTGTGCCACCAGTGCTAGGCACTGTGCCACCAGTGCTCCTTTACTGTAGGTATAAGCTCTCTTATTAATAAATGAAATGACTTTGCACTGGTGCGGTGTAGTAAATTACTTAGTGTGGCTTTTCTACCCATAAGTCTTTGTAAACTCCAAGGTGGGATTTTCTATGAGCAACTGAGGAGCTCCTAATTGCTGAAGTTGTCCACCTGGAGTGTTTCTATTGGGAGTGGCACAAAACAATGTTCTGGGAGGTGCCCACTCTCTCTCAGGTGCTTAGAGTTCTGATGCTAAGATTGGCTAAGGTGGTCACCCTGCTGGGCTCAAAAAGAGGCCTCCTAGAGGCAGAACACTCTCTCTGACTGCTGGTTGAGGAAGACATGCTGCTGCAAGAGACACGCACCCCAGAAAGAGACACATGCTGCTGGGAAAGAGGCGCAAGAGACATGCATCGCTGAGTGAGACACTCAGGGACCAGCACTGCTGGGAAAGAGACTGTGAGAGACTGTTGGCTGAGGGACGGTGGGCTGGGAGAGAGACTGAGCATTTTTCCTGAACCTGAATTGTAGCCTGTGGTGCTTCCCTAATAAACCCCATAATCTGTGAGCTCTGTGTGGCCACTGCAGCAAATTATCGAACCCAGGAGAGAGGTGGTGGGTGCTTTGGGAGAAACAGTTGGCGAAAGGGCTGGAGGGAGGCAGCATGTCTGGCCTTGTAGGAATAGGCCTTAGGTTACTGCTGGTAATCCTGTCTTCCTCTTGTGGGAATAGAGGAGGTCAGAACATGTGGCCTCCTTGCCGTTTTAGCAACTGGATTCTAGGAAACCCTGGTCAGTTGACCAGGTCAGTTGAAATTCAGGTCAGATGACTCCACCTAACAGTAAGGTCCGTATATTTAACATACAAGGAGTATATTTGGGGTAAAATGAAGCCCAGGTTTGTTATCTTGAAGTGAGTGTCTGTAATCTTTAATCAAAAAATAAAGCTGGCTGATACCATACTCAATGATTAAAGAAAGAATAATAAGAGCTTTCCCTTTAAGAACAGGAACAAGACAAGGAAGCTCACTCTCACCACTGCTATTCAATACTGAAAGTCCTAGACAGAACAATTTGGAAGAAAAAGCAATAAAATATATCCAGATCAAGAAGGCAGAAGTATCACTATCCCATTTCACAAATGACATGATCCTATAAAAAGAAATCTCCTCCAAAGAATCCATAAGAAAGCCTCTGTTGTTGTTGTTGCTATGTGCGGTTCAGTCACCCCGACTCATAGCGACCCCTCCTTGGGTTTTCGAGGCAGTATCACTACAAAGTAGGACTGCCCAACCTTCCTTCCGAGGAGTGGCTGGTGGGTTTGAACTGCCAGCCTTCTGGTTAGCAGTCAAGTGCCTTAAGCACCAGGCTACCAGAGCTCCTAAGAAAGCCTCTAGAGGTAATAAATTCAGCAAAAGGCATAATATCAACACACAAAAACCAGCTGAATTTACCCTCAGGGAGGAATCAAAATTGGAGATCTTGGATAGAGAGGGAAAAAGTAGAATGAAATTTTTAAAAAAGACTAGGTTTATTGGTCTGATAGAGACTGGTGGAACCCCCGAGACTAAAGCTGGATGACATCATATTCGATGATTAAAGAAAGAATAAGAGCTTTCCCCTTAAGAACAGGAACAAGACAAGAAAGCCCGCTCTCACCACTACTATTCAATACTGGAAGCCCTAGCCAGAGCAATTTGGAAGAAAAATAAATAAAAGATATCCAAGTCATCCTTCGGTCCTGGAATTGAACTCACTCCCAAGTAATAGACAGACCTACAAACAACAGGGCAAAATGCTTCTTAGAACAATTAACCATATGGGAGATCAGAAGAGCAGCATGTGCACAGGGAGAAAGGGAGGGAGGCAGGAATGCACAGGCAAGAAGGCCACAGGGAGAGGGTAATTAGGGGTAAGAAGTGGGAGGAGAGCTATTACAATGTGGGGAATATAATCAGGATCGCAAACACAAGGTGCATGAACCTTTGAATGTAAAACAAATCTTTGTGACATTTCACCCAAATCACAATAAAAAATTAAAAAAAAAAAAAAAAGAAAACAGTTGGGTTTCTATACACCAGCAATGAGCAATCTGAAAAGAAATAATTCCATTCACAATGGAATCTAAAAGAATGAAAAACTAGGAATTTCTACATATATATTTGTATGTACAGTATGAATGTCCGTATATATAATAGAGCTAACATGGCAAAGTTATGATAACTTCTCAGCCCCAGCCAAAAACCCTGAGGGTATGAGTCATTGGGCCCACAGGCTTGGGACCATGGTCACCAGGAACATCAAGCTCAACTGGCATAACAAACAATTCTTAAAATTAATTAATTAGATGACTCAATCAATCAAGGTATAAATTTAACTAGGGAGGTGAAAGACTTATACACTAAAAATATAAAATACTACTGTAAGAAAATAAAGAAAATCTAAATAAATGGAAGGGCATTCTGTGTTAATGGACTGGACTTATTATTGAAATGTCAATACTATCCAAAGCAATTTATAGATTCAATGCAATCCAATCCCTGTCAAAATTCCAAGAGCTTTCTTTGCAAAAATGGAAATTCTAATTCTCAAATTTATGTGGAACTACAAGGGGTCTTGAAAAGCCAAAGCAATCTTAGAAAAGAAGATCAAAGTAGGATTCATACTTCCCAATTCGAAACATACTACACAAAGCTACAGTAATCAAAACAGTCTGGTACTGGTATAATCACAAACATACAGACCAATGGAATGGAATAGAGAGTCAAGAAAGAAACCTATACACCTATGGTCAATTGATTTTTGACAAGGGTCCATTCAACAGGGAAAGAATAAAAACAAAACTAAACCAAACTCACTACCATCGAGTTAATTCAACTCATAGCAACCCCTCCTTGGGTTTCCGAGGCTGTATCTCTACAGAAATAACTTGCCCAATTTTCCTTCCAAAGAGTGGCTGGTGGGTATGAACTGCCAGCCTTCTGGTTAGCAGTCAAATGCCTTAGGCACTAGGCCACCAGGAACAAACAGTCTCTTCAATAAATGATACTGGGAAAAATGAATTATCAACATGCACATCTCACATCATATAAAAAAAAAATTAACTCAAAATGGATCAATGACCTAAATGTAAGAATAAAACCATAAGACTTTTGAAAAGAAAAGAAAAAGGTAAAACCCAAACTAGTTCCTCCAAGCCAATTCTGACTCATGGCAGCCCCATGTGTGCTTCTACAGGGTTTTCAACAGCTGATTTTTGGGAAGTAGATTGCCAAGCCTCTCTTCCAAGGTGGCTTTAGGCAGACTCGAACCTCCCACCTATCAGGCAGCAGTCAAGCATAAATCTTAGAATAAAACGTACAGGTAATGCTTCAGAACCTAGTTTCAGCAATAGATTCTTAGACCAAAACCACAAGCAACAAGAGACAAAATAGGTAACGTGGACTCCATAAAAATGAATTAAGTTTATGTATCAAAGGTCACTATCAACAAAGTAAAGAGACAACCTATAGAATGGGAGAAACTATTTAGGAATGATTTATCTGATAAGGTTCTAATACGGAAAGTAAAAAACAACTTCTATAACTTAACAACAAAAAGACAAACGACCTAATAAAAAACTGGGCAAAGGACTTAAATAGGCATTTCACCAAAGATACACAGCTAGCCGGCAAGCATATGAAAAGACGTCATTAGAGAAATGTTAAACCAAATCGAAACCACTATAAGACAGCGCTTCATACCCACTAAGATGGCTTGTTGTTGTTAGGTGCCATCGAGTCGTCTCTGACTCACAGTGACCCTATGCACAGCAGAATGAAACACCCGCAGTCACACGCCAGCTCTGCGATCCCTGCTATACTTGAGCCCATCACTGCAGCCACTGTGTCAATTCATCTCATTGAGGGCCTTCCCCTCTTTCATCAACCATCCACCTTACCAAGCATGACATCCTTCTCCAGGGAATGATCCCTTCTGATTAACATGACCAAAGTAGGTGAAATGAAGTCTGGCCATTCTCGCTTCCAAGGAACATTCCGGCTGCACTTCCTCCAGGACAGATTTGTTAGTTCTTTTAGTAATCCATGGTACTTTCAGCATTCTTCACCAGCACCACAATTCAAAAGCATCAATTCTTCTTCAGTCTTCCTTATTCATTGTCCAGCTCGCACATGCATATGAGGCGACTGAAAATATATGGCTAGTGTCAGGCATATCTTAGTCCTCAAGGAGACATTTTTGCTCAACACTTGAAAGAGGGCCTTTGCAGCCGACTTGCCCAGTGCTATACGTTGTCTGATATCTTGACTGCTGCTTCCATAGGTGTCGACTATACAACCAAGCAATGTGAAGTTTTTGACAACTTCAATCTTTTCTTCATTTATCATGATGCTGCTTACAAGTCAAGTTGTTGTGAGGATTTTTGTTTTCTTTATACTGAGATGTAATGCATATTGCAAACTGTATTTATTCAATCCTCATCAATAAGTGCTTCAAGTCATCATCACTTTCAGCGAGTTGTGTCATCAGTGTATTGAAGGTTGTTAATGATTCTTCCTCCAACCTTGCTGCCGACATTCTTCTTCTGAATTCAGCTTGCACCTCTGAAGTTCTCTGTCAATATACTGCTGCAACTATTTTTGAATTATCTTCAGTAAGATTTTACTTGCATGCGATATTAATGATATTGTTCGATAATTTCCACATTCTGTGGAATCACCTTTCTTTGGAATGGGTACAAATATGGATCTCTTCCAGTCAGTTGGCCAGGTAGCTGTCTTCCAAATCTCTTGGCATAACCGAGTAAGTGCCTCCAATGGGGCATCCATTTGTTGAAACATCTCAATGGGTATTTCGTCAATTCCTGAAGCCTTGTTCTTATACAATTCCTTCAGCGCAGCTTCAACTTCTTTCTTCAATACCACTAGTTCTTGATCATATGCCACCTCCTGAAATGGATGAAGACTGACAAGTTCTTTTTGGTACACTGACTCTGTGTATTCCTTCCATCTTCTTTTGATGCTTCCTGAATCATTCAATATTTTGCCTACAGAAGATTGCAACTCGAGGCTTAAATTTTTTCCTCAGTTCTTTCAGCTTGAGAAATGCTAAGCGTGCTCTTCCTTTTTGGTTTTCTAACTCCAGGGCTATGCACATTTCATTATAGTAATTGGCTTTGTCTTCTAGAGCTGCTCTTTGAAATCTTCTGTTCAGCTCTTTCATCTTGTCATTTCTTCTATTTGCTTTAGCTACTCTTCATTCAAGGGCAAGTTTCAGAGTCTCTTCCGCCATCCATTTTGGTCTTTTCTTCTTTTCTCATCTTTTTAATGACCTCTTGCTTTCTACATGGATGATGTTCTTGATGTTATCCCACAATTCTTCTGGGTATTGATCATGGGTGTTCAATGCATCAAATATATTCTTTAGATGGTCTCTAAATTCAGAAGAGATATATTCATGGTCATATCTTGGCTCTTGTGGACTTGTTTTAATTGTCTTCAACTTCAAGTTGAACTTGCATATGCGCAATTGATGGTCTGTTCCACAATTTTGGCTGAAGATACTAAGCTTCTCCATCGCCTCTTGCCACAGATGTAGTCAATCTGATTTCTGTGTACTCCATCTGGCGAAGTCCACATGTATGGCCACCATGTGCGTTGTTGCAAAAAGGTATTTGCAATGAATAAGTCATTGGTCTTGCAAAATTCTATCATGCAATCTTTCAGTGTTATTTCTGTCACCAAGGCCAAATTTTCCAACTACCAGTGATTCTTCTTTGTTTCCAACTTTTGCATTCCAGTCATCAGTGATAATTAACACATCCTGATTGCACGTTCAGTCAATTTCAGACTGCAGAAGTTGATAAAACTTTAATTTCCTTATCTTTGGCTTTGGTGGGTGGTACGTAAATATGAATAATAGTAGTATTAACTGGTCTTCCTTGCAGGTGTATGGATATTAACCTATCAATAACAGCATTGTACTTCAGGACAGATCTTGAAACATCCTTTGCGATGATGAATGCCACGCCATTCCTCTTCAAATTGTCATTCCTGGCATAGTAGATCATATGGTTGTCTGATTCAAAATGGCCAAAACCAGTCCATTCCAGCTCATTAATGCCTAGGATATCAATCTTTATGCATTCCATTTCATTTCTGACAACTTCCAATTTTCCTAGATTCATACTTTGCACATTCCATGTTCTGATTATTAATGGACATTTGTACCTGTTTCTCCTCATTTTGAGTCATGTCACGCCAGCAAATGGAGGTCTCAAAAATTTTACTTTATCCATATCAGTAAGGTTGATTCTACTCTGATGATTTAGCTCTTTCCCATATTTTAAGAGCCTTTCGACCTCAGGGGATCGTCCTCCTGCACTGTATTGGACAATGTTTCCAGGCTATTCATAAAGTTGCACAGTAATGTATCAGACAGTGTTTCTTTGCTATACATAAGGTTTTCCCTGGCCAATTTTTTGAGAGAGCATGGACTCTTCCTTCTTTCTAGTCTGTAAGCTGCATTAAAACCTGTGCACCATGTGCAACCCTGCTGGCATTTGAAACACCAGTGGCACAGCCTCAAGCCTCAGAGCAAGATGCAAGCCACCACAGTACGACAAACTGACAGACAAGTTTGTCTCTCTTAACTGTTCAAAACCTCTCTGTCCTCCCCGTGCCTGGATCCTGCCACTGCTCGGCCGGTCAGTCATCACCCAGGCTTTTCTCTTCCCCACTTTCCTGCCTCTTGGGGGAGGGGCTGTGTCCCTCCCCTTACCTGGATCCCTGCCACTGCTCAGTCAACTAAGACAGCTATTACCAGAAAAAATAAAAAGTACAAGTGTTGGCAAGGATATGGAAAAATTGAAACTGTCATCCATTGTTGGTGGTTCTGTAAGTGGTGCAGCCACTATAAAAAACAGTTTGGCCATTCTTCAAAAGATTGAAAACTATGACCTAGCAATTCCACTCCTAGGTATACTGAAAGAGACTTGAAAAACTTTCTGGTTAGTAATCAAGTGCCTTAGCCACTATGCTACCAGAGCTCCATTTTACCATTACCCCTTTTAAATCTTTTCTCTCCCATAAAGGCCCTGTCAGAGGTCTCCCCCACACCTGTAGTTCCAAGGCCACGTGCTCACTTATGTCCCTTGACTATTGTTCTTGGTCCCAGGTTGCCAGGTACAGGGCTGAGATGTGCCTATCTATGCCAGGACATAGAGCAGCAGCCAAGGATGCAACTCTTTCCTTCCTTCCCCTTTACAGTCAGAGTGATAATATACATTTTACAAAGGCTTGATGAGTTGACTAGCCTGTAAGAATGGATTCACCATTCAATTTGTTCTGCTGTTGTTATTAGGTGCTGTCAAGTTGGTGCCAAATCCTGGTGACCCCATATACAATAAAACGAAACACTGTCCAGTCCTACCCCATTCTCACAATCGTTTGAGTCCATTGTTACAGCCACTGTGTCAATCCATCTTTTTGAGAATCTCTCTCTTTTTCACTGATCCTTTACCAAGGATGATGTGCTTCTCCAGAGACTGGTCCCTCCTGATGTCCAAAGTACATAAGATGAAATCTTGCCATCCTTGCTCTAAGAAGCATTCTGGCTGTACTTCTCCCAAGACAGATTTGTTCTGGCAATCGACATTATATTTAATATTTTTTCCTAACACCATAATTCAAAGGCATCAATTCTTTTTCAGTCTTCCTCATTCACTGTCCAGCTTTCATATGAAGAGACTGAAAATACCATGGCTTGGGTCCGGTGCACCTAAATCCTCAAGGTTATTTATTTGCTGCTTAAGTCTCTAAAGAGGTCTTTTGCAGAGATTTGCCCAAATTTGTACTAATAGAACTGAAATCAATTCAAATAAAACTCTATAAGTTAAAGAGATAGCTTCCTGTTTCCAATTCAGAGATCTAACCTGGACAGTATCTCTTCAGCCTCCTTCTGGTAATGCAGCAAGAGCTGATCCCAAGTGTGACATTCTGAAGAAAATCTGCAGAATAAGAAAAAAGTTCACATTTGATCATCTTATTCTGAATCACTCAGGGCACCAATAAGTACAATAGGTATATACTCTGGTTCTAAGATGTGACTAAAAAAGTCATTAAAGGATTGGTAAGCTTTACTGATTCAGAGGTTATCAAAGTAATTTAATCAAAGCACACACTGAGTTCTTAAAATCAAATTAACATTCTTATTCCCTAGACTCCATTCTGTGAAACTGGCCATCGGTACAGCCTATTAAATACCAATATGGAGACTTACAACTTTTAGTACTAATATAAACAACACTCTGAAAACGTTTACTATTCATTTTCCCCAGGTTTAAGTATTTTCCCTAGGTGAAGAACGAATTTAGATTTTCCAGGAAAGGTTCTCTCATTTCCACTTACTTGGCTATATATTCCTTCATCTCAGCCACTGATGCATCCAGAGACAAATCTAATTCTTTTCTGGAATACAAACAGGATTAAGATATTAACACAAATTTTTCCAAAAGCCACTTATTATTATTTTTTTTTTTGCCATCCAACTTATTTTATTTTTTTTTATTTTTTTAGGATTTGGGTGAAGATTTACAGAGTAAATTCACTTTTCATACAGCAGTTCACATATACTTTGTCTCATGTCATTGACCAAAATTTACAATGCAAGCAGCCCCCTCCCACTTCCTCCCCATAGTTACCTCCTCCCAGTGTCCATCCCTTCATACTCTTCTGCACCCTGAGCTATCTCCCTGTGCATAAGCAGCCCTTCCTTCTCCCATGATTGTTCTCTCCAGGGCGTGTGTCTACTTGAGGTAAATGTTTAACTCACATGCCTGTACTTTGTTTGGCTGGAAACCACAGGTGTGGGTTCAATTCCAGACCTGAAGGGCAGCTAGGGGCCATAGTCTCAGTGGTTACACCAGGCTCCATTGGACCAGCAAACCTGGTCCCCACCTTCTTTTTTTTTTTTTTGCCTCCAAATGATTTTGAGTTTTGTACCACATTGTTCTCCCTCTTTATGCAGGATCTCCTACATCCCTTCCAAGTGGATGGCAGTGGTAGCTGGGCACCATCTAGTTCTTCTGGTCTCATAGTTGTATAGGTTGCAGATCGGATGGTGTACCAGTCGCTAGGACTGATTGTTTCCATTAATTTTGGTTTTCTTCTTTCTTCTTGATGAGGAGAGACCCATTGTTGCATCTAGATGGCAGCTTCCTAGCTTTTAAGGTCCCAGTTGCTACTCGCCAAAGTAGTAGGTGGAACAATGTTCTGTACAGTATGTTATGCCAATTGAGCTTGATGTCCCCTGCGACTATGGTCCCAAGCCCACAGGATCAACTACTCGGTCCCTCTGGGTAGCTGAAAGCCACTTATTTTTAATAGTATGATACCTTACATAATCTTAATGGCAGTAGAAAATAGTCAGAATTTATCTTTCAACTAATATTTATTCTTGGACTCCATCTCACTTTTGCACTAGGTAATAGCTTTCAAAATGGTCACTTTATCTTCTACTTCTCTCATCAATACCAATTCACACCATGGCCAGATTAACCTTTCTTAAAATATACCTTATTTTCTTTGCTTAAAAACTCTGTGACCTTATACTATACCTACGAGAACTGTGCAAACCCTTAACCTGGTACTGAAAGCTGTCTGTGTTCTGGCTCCATCCATCTTACCAACTTTGATACCTCTCATTATCTGCTATCTATTCTGCCCTATCATTCCTCTCAGCCTAACCTTCAAGTACCTGGGGTTTTCAACTTCTACATTTTTCTTCACATAATTTTTTGTCTCTTCCTCACCCATTAATCAAAACCTGCACATCTTTGAAGGCCCAACAATTCTTTTTTATAGGATTATGTCTTCCCACTAAAACTAAAGCTATTGGAGGACACAGATTATGTTTCATTTACACCAATGACTCACCTCAGTTGGATAATTAATTCTAATGGAAAAGGAGCAGCCACTGAAGATGCCAAAATATGGCAGATGTATTTGGAACCCTACTAGCAAAGATAAAGTATTTGTGCTACTTTTAATTCATGCTTTTCCACTGAGGTCTGTGACATACACAGCCTACCAAACTACAATTGAGATGCAGTCAGTGACCTAAACACAGAACATTAAATTGATGCTATGTTAAGCTAAAATATTTTTCATTTCCTGAATAGCAATGTAAATCTAAGAACCTGTGGAAAAGTAGCCCTTTGTGAAGTGAAAGCTTCAAGTTTATGATATAAGCTCATGATGTGGTGCAGGGAAGGAAGAGGAGTTTGGGGATGTTAGCCTTGCCCCTGTTGACGAACTACCAGCTGGGGGGTATGATTTTAAAATTGCTACTAATATTCTTGCTTGCCAACAGTCAAAGAACATGAGTTTATCTCTAACTTGTATGGCTAGCAACGATCTGAACAATGCTTTTCTCCTTGTCTTTCCATGGCTAATTCCTTCTCACCATTCAGGCCTTACAGGTCTCAGTCCGATGTTCAAATTATTAGAGGTCTTTCATGAACACTAGCTGAAGTTTCCCACCCCTTCAAGTCACTATCATATTTACTAATATCTTAGATTATCCCTAATTGAAATCATTATTGTCTACATCTTATTGTTTGACCGTCTGTGGTAGCTGTTTGTGTGTCACCTTGGCTGGGTCTGGTTGAGTGGCTGGGCGGTTGGATGTAGTATTCCTCATGATGAGACTAGTAATCAACTCCACAGTGGAATCTACTGTAAGAAGCTGAGTAGCTGCCCTAGGGATATGGTCTGCTTCCTGGAGAAGCCTTGGGGAACAGTCTCTAGCTTATGGGACACTTGAACCCTGCGTGTAGCCTTGTCGTTGCTCAGCAGCCTGCCATGCTCTGCCAACCTTGGGACTTTCAGTGGACTTGAATGAATGGTCTGCTGTGTGGTTTGGTAACACCAGGACAGTGCCTTTTTACCTGTCAACCTTGGGCTTGTCAGCTCAGCAGTCAGCAGCTGTCTGAGTGAAGAAAAGCCTCTAGCTTCAGAGGGCTGGGAGCAAGAGGCAGACCTGAAGCCCAAGGCTAAGGGGCTCTCACCCAGTCCCTAAAGCCTGGCACTTTGAACTCGGACTTAAAGCCTCCAAACTCTAAGACAATAAGCTCCTGCTTGTTAAAGCCATACCATTTGTGGTATATTTCTGTCAGAGGTATACTCCTACTTGACTTATTTATCACTGTGTCACCAGTATCTAGAAGAGGCTGGTATACAGAAAATGCTGGGAAAATGTTGGTTGAGTGAATGAACCACCATCTAATCATAATGAAAAGTCTTAATTATAATTTACAACAGAGAGGGAATTGCTCTTACCCTTTTGGCTTTTCAAAGCATTTTTGTAGAATTCCATCATTTTCCAGTTTGTCTGTAAAATGTTTCAATTCTTCAGAAATAGAAGACACTAGATAGAGTAAAATTATTTGTTATAAAATAAAGAGAAGATAAATTTTCACAGTGAGCTGGTGACACTTAAGATGGTTTCATTCTGGCCCTCACCACTCGAGAAAGTGGTATGAATATGCAGAAAGGTTTTATCTTCTTTCTTTGGTAGGTTGGATAAACTGGAAGACCACTCTTTATGGCATTTATGATGGTGTTTTTATATTTGACTGGTAAGAAAGCTGTTAAAAAAGAATATCTGAATCTGACATTTCATTTGAGCAATTTGAACCTATGGCACTGGAAGGAGAATGTATTCATAAAAGCCAGGCAATGGGTGAGAATATAATAATAAATGTGGGAGGTAGAGCCATGGGCGTAAGATGAAAACAAGTCTCTGCTTAGACTTGAATAGCCCACCATTACTTTACCATCATATGAAGAATGCGGAGAAGAGGATATGCTAACTAGCTTTTAAGATAACTGTGATTCAGCCTTCACAACACTGAGACCAGAAGAACTAGACAGTGCCCCAGCTACCAGTGCCAACCACTCGGAAAGGGATCAAAACTGGAGATCCTGGATAGAATGGGAGGGAAAATGTGGAACAAAATTCAAAAACACAAAAATGACCAGAATTACTGGCTGGATAGAGACTGGTGGAACCCCAGAGACTGTGGCCCCAGGTTACCCTTTGGGCCTAGAAATGGACTCACTTCCATGGACTGGCTTTCAGCCCAACAGTAGAAAGACCTACATGTAGAACACCTACCCCAGGGAGATGCACCCACCTACTCTAGGGAGGTGCATCCCTTAGATCAATCAGCCATGAGATACCAGAGGGGCAGCATTCACATAGAGGGACAGACACTCCCGGACAGACAGGAAGACATACTTAAGAAGGGCACAGGGAGGGGGTAGTCACAGGGAGGGAAGGGGAGGAGAGTTTTTTATGGTTAGGGATGGTAATCGGGTTGTGAAACAAATGTACATTAACTGTTGAATGTAAAACAAATTCGCTGTGTAAATTTGCACCCAAAGCACAATTTAAAAATAAATAAATAAATAAATATAATTCTGGTATAATCTGTACTAATTAAGATGATGGTGCAATTCTGAGAGAAACAATTTTAACCAGCAAATAAGTCTGAATTCAGGTATTTTCTGGGTTTTTTAACTGGGTGATAGAGTATTTCTGACTCTGGATTATCATGTAGTTGCACTGTTAGTGGAATAATTACCAGCAAGCAAGGTGAAAACTGATTTCTAGAAAAGACTATTTGCAACTTATCTCACAAACACTAAATTTCTTTAATATATAAAGAATTCCTACAAATAAATAGGATAGAGACCAACATGCCCCCTTAAAAAAATGAACAAAGGATATGAATAGACATTACACAGAAAATAAAGTACAAATGGCCCTACAAATATTTTCAAAGGGTTATCCTTTTTAAAAGAAAAAGAAACACAAGTTAAAAGTACAAAATATGTTATCACATAATGAATGGTTAAAAAATAGTTAAAGTTGATAAAATTATGTTGGTGAGTGTGAGAAAACAGGGTCTTGTATATATTACTGGTGAGAGAATAAATTGATATAACCTCTGTGAAAGCCAATTTGGTAATTCCTATCATTTCATTTGACCTAGTAACTCTAATTTTAAGAATTTATCTTATTTTTACTTGCACATGTGCCAAAACGTTTGTGCAAAAAGGTATTAATTACACTATCTATTATAATAGTAAAGGACTGGAAACAATCTTAAAAGCCCATTAACTACTAATCAAGTCAGATATGGCACATTTATATAATGAAACAGTACATGGCTTCTAAAGTGTCAAAGGGAGCTCCATGTATATGTTATAGAACAATGTCCAAGAAAAATTAGATTAAAAAAAGGACAAATATGTGTAAATGTTTGGAAATGCAATACATCTCTCTACAGGAACACAACAGAAACTGGTGACTGACTGCCTTTCGGGAAAAGGGCCTAGACTGGGGATCGGGGAGGGGAAGGAGGCTTTTCACCTTTGTTCCTCTGAAATTAAACCGTAAGCATATATTCTTATTTCTGAGGATGAAAAACGTATGATTAGGGACCCTGCTTTGGCTAAGTTTATAGGAGAGTGCAGCACAGGGTCAAATCACAATCATCTATGCATTCTAGCAACTTACCTTTGTCTCTAAAAGTCTTAAGACAAAAACCCTCAGTGTCCCTCAGGAAAGGTTCCAGTTTCTGAACAGAGAACTAAAGAAAGAAAAGCATTTTCAGTGTAATAACCAAGATTTTCCAGGCCTATCCTGAGTTTATGTAATTTGTTTAATAAATGTAAAACTGAACATGATTTAATTTTTATGTATAAGACTTTTCATATAAGCTGTCCCCAGATTACAAATGAGTTCTGTTCCCATGTCTGTCTTTAAGTTGAATTTATGCCTAAATCATACAGTTTATATCTAATGTTAGTCAAATGTTTGTCTTAGGAACAAATCTGGAAATCTTGGATAGAGTGAGGGGGAAAACATGGAACAAAATCCAAAAACTCAATAATGACCAGAATTATCGGTCAAATGAAATCTAGTGAGACTCCCAATACTACGGCCCTGGAAAACATTCTGCGCCTGGAATAAAACTCACCCCAGGGGCGGGCTCTCAGCCTAATAGTTAACAAGATGTACACACAGACCACTCAACCCAGGATGATACACCCACATACTCTACAGTAATACATCCCTTAGAGCAATAAACTATGGGACACCAGAGGACCAACATCCAAACTGAGGAAATGCAGGACAAAAGGAGCGCATAAATATGAGGAGCACAGGGGGAGGGTTACAAAGTAGGGAGGGGAGGAGACTGGGTTAGGGTTGGACATGGCAAATGGGGAATGAAACTAAACATACGCATTTTGTTGAATGTAAAACAAGCTCTTAAAATTAAAAATTAAAACAAAGTTTGTCTTAGTACATAGTGTACCTTTCCATACATAAAATACATTAAAGAAACACTTCCAGATACACTAACACCTTTAACATAATAATACAGTAATAATGTTTCCACACATAAAGGAAAGTAGTGCTCTTTTGTTATAAACTATGTACCTTGAATGTTTAACACACTAGGTTTTAGTGGAGGGGGACTGGTTCGTAACTATGGGTTGTACTTAAGTTGGACATGTGTAACTCAAGGAAGGTCTGTAAACAAATAAATCAATGAGAAAAAACTCTTTGCTGGTCAAACCATAAATTCAGATCTTTTGTTCAGGGAGAAAACAAATCATTTAATTCACAGAAATGAAGTGCTATGAGGTTAACAGTCACTTTACCTCAAGCAGGTTGGTCTCTGTCCCCAGCCTCTGTGAACAATCCTTAGAGTAGTTGGGCTACACTGGCCACGTCTGAGGGTTTGTATTAATGAGTGGGAGTCAGTGTGGAAGCCGCTTAGTAACCAATAATGAGCATGAGCTGGTGATAAAAGCCTGAAACACTGAGGCTCTAGGAAGTTTCCCATCGTAGAGCTCCTGGAAGGAAAGCTTCCTGGGGAAAGGATGTGCCCTCTGCTTCGGGAACCTTTCCAACCTTTGCCTGAGTTACTCCTGAGTTGTATCCTATTATCCTTAACATATTTCGAGTGACTCCTGAGTTGTATCTTTTACTCTAATAAACCACATAACCATGTAGATAGTCTGTGAGTTCCATGTCACATTGCAGCAAATTAACGAACTCAGAATAGAAAGAGAAAGAATGTCACGAGGAAATGAACGGCTGGTGTCAGAGACCATGAAGAAGTTGGAAATCAGAGATATGCTTGATCTTTACCTCATATAAAACAGCTCTGTGCTGATTCTTATTCACTAAATTATTAATTTATGTGCTTATCTACCCTGATACAAGCATTAGCTAGCCAAATAACTTCTTTATAAAATTATATAACATGGGTCATATATTGTCTTAATATACTGTAAGGCCTGAAATGTCTAAAATAATTTAGATGTTTAACTCTGCTCATTTTAAATTTCCATCATTTGCTGCCAATGGGCAAAGGATACTCTAGTGGGGAAATCTGTTAGCTGCTCAGTTAATAGCAGAAGCAGCAACCACAGCTGCCGCACCAGTGGGATCCGTAGAGAATCCAGTCCAGAGAGGAATCAGTTGCTGGGATTAAATTTGACTTTTAAACTAATACCAATTAGGGAGAAACATCTTTTAATCTTAACGAATGCACCACATGGTATCAATTTCTGTTTAGCTCTTTAACAGTGAGTTTAAAAAATGAAAATAGCTTTCCCCAGTACCAAGCACCTCACCTGGAAACTGGAAAGCAGGAGAGCGCCAAGCCGTTTACTCTCTGTCAAGTTGACACTGATGGATCTGCTGAGCGCTAACATAAAATATCACATTAAAGAGCTGGATACAGTTAGCAAAGTAACAAAACTAGAAAACTTCCTCCTTGTTGGTGCAGTCAAACTTAAGGCAAGAATGCCCAAGAATCCCTCTCTGGTTAAAGAGAAAATTCTTATATTTTAGTCACATCTAATTTTTCTAAGATCACCAAGGAATGAAGTTTACCCACATCTATGCATCCACACTTCGAAAAATGTTACAAAAATCTTTCTAGGTATTACATTAAAATCTTGTCTTGTTAACCAAAGTAAATAAAAAAAAATAGTTTAACTTTTTTCTGATGGAGCTCTGGTGGCGTAGTGCCTAAGGCACTTGACTGCTAACCAGAAAGCTGGCAGTTCAAACCCTGCAGCCACTCCTGGGAAAGGCTGGGCAATCTACTTCCACAGTGATACTGCCTTGGAAACCCAAGGAGGGGGTCACTATGAGTCAGATCCAACGTGATGGCAGTGAGTTTGATTTGGTTCTTATTAGAAGAAAGGATATGGGAATATTTGAGCATTTTATATTGGCATATATGTGCTTTAGATATACATCATCTTAAGAGTCCTTTAATAAATCCTACAAGGTAAGTATTATTAGCTCTGCTTAACAGATGAAAAAACTGAAGCTTAGGGGACAGAGGACAATATCTGCGGCCAGGGATTACTGGAGCCAGAATACAAACCCAAGTCTGTCACCAAAACCTGTGCTTTTTCCACTAAGATCATGCTGCTTCTCTGTAATAACCAAATAATATCAACAGGAAGCATTTATTGAATGTTTGCTGTATAAAAGGCATTTTATTAAATGCTTTATATATACCTCATTAAACCCTGAAGCAAGTTAGTACTCTTACCAGTTCCATTTTACAGATGATGAAACGGAGACACAACGGCCAGATAATAGGTAAATAGGTTACCTTTCCTATGTCACATAGTGAGTCAACAGACTGAGTTGGATGGTCTCCACATACATTTTACACAATTATGCCACTGAATCCTCAAACAACTCCAGGGGGTATGTGTTATATTTTTAAAATAATCTCCATTTAGCTAACTCCAGTTATTATACAGCAAAGAAAGTTTGCTTTGAGAATTATGACAGATACACATCTTTGTGCCCTGCAGCCTAAGCTGGCTCTGTCTTTACAGTTCTTATCTCCTCTCTTAATTCTCATCACAATGAGTCAAGAAAAGCAGGATACCTTGTCTATAACTAAGGAAATCTAGAAGGTAGTCAGGAATAAGCAGGAGTTAATCAGACTTAGTACATCAATGATTTTCTACTATTCAGAATTTTAAGTCCACATGCTCTAAAATAGAGATGAAGGTAGGGGTAATTTCAGGGAACCGCTGATGTCTTCTTGGCATGCCTATGGAATAAACTGCATGGACAGTGTGGCAGCCATTTTCTGATATGTTAAGTACCTGCTTTTTCCCTGATTTACTTCCAGTCATCTGGTCACCTAGAAGTGAGTTGACATCTTAAAAATAATTACAACAGCTAACATTTGAGGTTTTCCTCTCTGCCAAGCACTGTTATAAACCAACTCATTTAATCCTCACACAACCTTGTGTGACAGATTCCAGTACCATCCATAGTTTATTGATGAGGACCATAAGGCAAAAGAGACAGGTAACCTGCTCAAGATCATATAGCCAGCAAGTTCTTCTTTAAATGTGCTACATTTGGATTATATCCTGTCGTCTGACACTGAGATACAGGTAATATAGTAAGTTCACACAAAATCATACAAATTACATTCATATACAGCACCCCCAACTTTTCACTCTAGATATTTCTATGTATGTCTTCCTTCTGAGATATTTTCAGTTGTAAAGCCTAAAATGAAATATCAACCTACCCATCTTCTGTTCTACTATAGGATATGAGGCAGGGAGCCACAGGAAGGAACCTTTAATGCCTCTCATTCTAGCAGAGGGTACTGTACAATGTTCATTCACAAAATAGATTACAATGGGCAGCTAATATGATTTAAACAGGAATAATACTAAACACTTACTAGGTATTTTACATTGTTGTTGTTGTTGTTATGTGCCGTTGAGTCGGCCCCGACTCATAGCAACCCCTCCTTGGGTTTCCGACGCAGTATCACTACAGAAGTAGGATTGCCCAACCTTCCTTCTGAGGAGTGGCTGGTGGGTTTGAACCGCCAGCCTTCTGGTTAGCAGTCAAGTGCCTTAGGCACTATGCTACCAGAGCTCCAAATTGTTTATAATCTTAGAATATTCCCATACAGTGGGCAGGATGGTCTTTTTTACAGATGAGGAAACTGAGACTCAAAGAGTTTATGAAGTAATCTGCTCAAAGTCACATAGTTAATAAGTAGCAAAGTCAAGTCTATTCTCCTATGCTCTTTTAGCCATACCTCACTGCCTCTCATCTGAGCTGGAACTTCATTGTCTTATGTAGATAGCACCCCACCTGTGATGCCCTGGTGAAAGGGAGGCAGTGACTTCCGCCGGTTCGTTCCTTTCATACTTGCTCGTCGCCAAGACTGCCTCCTGCCTTGATGATGGGCAGACTGTTCTTGGGGGAACAAATGAAGGGACCTGGACTGAAGTCCTTCCTGGTGGCTGAGATCACAATTTCTCCCTTTTGTTGGGCTACAGTCAAGGTGATTTCTTTCCTTTGAAATGCTCTGAGTCATCTCCAGGGAGACAGATGATTTAGTACATACTTCCACAAGGTTGGGACTTGATTTCAATTGATGATCATGAGTCTTAGACATCACTGGTTCCTCTTCCGGCACTTGTTATAAAAAAGTTAAAATACAAAATCAAATCCATCACAACAAAGTATCTGTGCAAAAGGTGGAAAAAGAAAATGCATGCCCCACAGCATGGAAACACCAAGGAAGCACCTCTGCAAACATGTGAACATGTGATGTGATTCCATATCCATCAAGAGTCAGAAAGCCTGAACCCAAGAGGCAAAAGATACTGAATTTCACTGTAAAACTCACCTTCAATAGTCTCTGATCTAGTCACTGAAGTCATTCTGGGAGGAGAACCCTGAAAATAGGAAAATAAGGTAATCTTTTCTCTACATTTCAGCCCCAGTCTCACTGGGACCTTGATACTTCAGAATAAGGCCTTGTCCTCTGCAGTCTCTCTGAAATGCCCACCTTGCCAATTATCTCGAGGCCCCATGAAATTCTACCTGCCTGACAAGGTCTAGAACAATCCCATCTCACCTCCTCCACAGAGACTATCACCAACAGTCATCACCTAATCTGAACTTCTACAGAACTGATTTCTAATAATATTCATACATCCCTTAACACACTCCCTACTTTACTTCCCAATTATTTTGGAAGGAAGGAGCCCTGGTAGCACAGTGGTTAAGCACCTGGCTACTAACCAAAAGGTTGTTAGTTTGAACCCATCAGCTGCTCTGCAGAAGAAAGATATGGCAGCCTGCTTCTGTAAAGATTAAAGGCTTGGAAACACTATGGGGCAGTTTGTCCTGTAGGGTCACTACGAGTCAGAATTGACTCAGGAGCAACCCAAACAAGAGTCCCTGATTTCCAAATTCAGTTCATAGTATTTTGATCTACCTGGTATTTCAACTAAAAAATGTCCTCCTTTAATTCTCCTTATTCTTAACTATCCACATCCAAAGTCCTTTCTGTTCTACCTCCAACCCACCCACCCACTGCCATCAAATCAATTCCGACTCATAGCGACCCCCAGGTGGGTTTCCAAGGCTGTATGTAAATCTTTACGGAAGTAAATTGTCTCATCTTCCTCCCATGGAGCAGCTGGGGGGTTTCAGCCAAATGCTTTACCCACTAGCCACCAGAAGTTCTTTCTACCTCCAACAGTCTCTAAATCTTTTCTCCATTCTCCATTCCCACTGTTACTAGTCTAATTCAGTCATAACATCACCCTGGACTATATAACAGCATCTCTACTAGTTTTCCTACACCCAGTGCTGCTCCTCTCCAATCCATTCTTTAGCCAGAAGCAGAGATTTTTTCAAAGTGTATTCAATATATGCTAGTCCCAACCTACCTCTTCCTGCTCTCTTGCCATTCCCTTCCTATTTCTTCCCTCCTGCACCATTTTTAAATTTTTGTACAAATTGGTCCTACTTCCCAAACTACATCAAATGTGAAGCTTTCATGACACTTTGTCTTAGCAGAGTTGAGGGCTCTACTCCTTGGAATCCCTAGCACTGGCTGTAAAATCTGTTTAAGGTCTTCTTCCCAGCCAGACTGCATCTGTATTCCTAGTGCCTCTCACAGACTACCAACTTCAAGAGGACTGTGTCTGAGCCACCTCTTCATCTTCCAGCCTTACCTCTTCTTCCCAGGAGAAACCTGTACACGAGGGTGCTTTGTAAACAGAAATATACACGTAGGGAAAAGATAGAAAAGATCAAAGGAAAACGAGGAGTTGGTCTAGGACCTAAATTCTTACAGGTGGGATGATAAAAGCAACAACTGTCATTTGTTAAGAGCTTGTCAGGACCTGTGCTATGTAAGCACTTTATCTGCATTAGCATCCCATTTAATTCTTCCCACAACGCTACGAGGTAAGTACAGTTATTAACTCCACTTGGCAGAGGGGGGAACTGCCATTAGAGAGGCAAAAAGCCTGGCTCAAACTTGTTCCGCAACCAGACTGAGGTTTAGGTGGAATTCGAACTCAGGTCTCAAGCAACGTTCTGGAGTGTAGTCCACCAAAAAACCCCCAAACTCACTGCTATGGAGTCGGATCCGACTCACAGCGACCCATCCTTGGGATCCCGAGGCAGTATCACTACGGAAGTAGATTGCTCAACCTTCCTTCCGAGGAGTGGCTGGTGGGTTTGAACCGCCAGCCTTCTGGTTAGCAGTCAACTGCCTTAGGGAATGCGCGGCCAGCCCTCGGGTTTCCCCACTCGGGATGAGGCTCCAGCGCCTCTGGTGGAAAGCAGTAAATAGCGGTGGATCAGACCTGATCCGACGCCAAAAACGCTGTGGCGGAAGCGAGCAGGGTCGAGTCGAGAGAGAGGCTTTCGACTTTCTGACCTGAGTGACATCCGTCCAGCCCAGTCTCGGTTCCTGAAACACAAGCCGAAGGTCACTCTCTCCGCGGCCCCGGATCAACTGTGGACCCCCTGTACAGGTGCAACCGTTCTCCTGCGGCCCAGCGGCTCTCCACCGCCCTCCGTTTTCGCCAACTCCGCCGCTTCCGAAACTCCCGCCAGTCCAATGCGCATGCGCGGCCTCCGCGGTCTGCGCACGCGCAATGTAGGACTGCACCAACGTGCATGCGTAAATGGGTGGTGCTCAGAGCTTTTGCCCAACAAGCCGAAATCCTTCGCAGTACTCACCCACCAAGACGTCACTACTTCAGTGGTCACGCGCTGCCCAGGGAATCCAGTACCTTCTCAGAACTCACTGAACATACCCCATGTAAAACAGGGAAACAAAGGCCCAGAGAGGTACTTCGCCAAGGAAATACAGCTAATCAGCAGGTTCCCTATACCCTGTCCTGTAACTCGGCCATAAAACCACTTCCATCGCCTTAACTCCAAAAGTGTGGACCGTGACTCTTCTAGCCTGGACTAGAGCTCTAATTTGCCTCAGCCTTATCCCACGCTTACTCTAGGACTTTTTTCCTTCTATAGCCCCTGTGGTGTAAGTGGCGCAGTGGTTAAGCGCTCGGTTGCGAACTGAAAGGTCGGCACTCTGCAGGAGGCAGATGCAGTGTGCTCCGGTAAAGGTTTGCAGCCCTGGGAACACAATGCAGGCAGTTCTGTGCTTTCTATAGCGTCGCTATGAGTCGGAATCCACCTGAGGGCAATGAGTTTAGGGGTGTGTGTGTGTGTGTGTGTGGCCATACTACATTGGTAAAGCAGCTCTGGTGGTGCAGTGCCCAAGGCAAGCTAAGCAGAAGGTTGGCGGTTCCAACCTGCCAGCACCTCCACGGAAGGAAGATGAGGCAATCTCCTTCCATAAAGTAGATTTACCACCTTGGAAACCGAACGGGGGTCAATATGAGTCCGAATCAATTTGATGCCAGTGGGTGTTACATTGGTAAAGTTCAAGAACTCTCCTTTCCAGCCTTATCACAGACCTGTGCAAACTGCTCCTTTGCTCAAGCTATTCCCTCTGTCCAGAAAGCTCATCCCTGCTTTTTCCTGGCAAAATTCTCCCAATTTTAAGCCTCAGCTGAGGAATCATCTCTCCCTGTGCCTTCCGTAAGGCCCCAAACTGAAAACCAGATGCCTTTTCTTTGTTCCCAGGAGCCCATCCTGCTCCACTATCCCTTGCTGGCCTGGGATCCTCCAGAGAGCATAGCACCCAGCATGGCACCATCAAAATGTCCCCTTCTGCGTGGGGCCCTTTCTTTCATATCTGAACCCTCTGAATGTTGAAGTAAGAGGCGGCCACAAAGTCTGAAGTGAGAGGGATTGGGGAGCATAACTGTGGTGATCCTGCCATAGTAGCTGTGGGTACTTGGGAAAGTTATAACAAGAGGCAGGAATATAACTTCCTGAAATTTCCACCCTGAGGTTTCAACAGACATCTGTAAGCTTTGTTCTCAGTTCACTGAATATCACTTTCTGTGGCTCAGTGAGGAGACCCAGTGGTACAGTGGTTTCAGTACGTGGCTACTAACCGGAAGGTCAGTGGTTTGAACCCATCAGCTGCTCCATGGGAAAAAGTTGTGGCAGTCTGCTTCCATAAAGATTTACAGCCTTGGAAATCCTATGGGACAGTTATACTCTGTCCTGTAGGGTCACCATGAGGCAGCATTGACTTGACTGGCAGTGAGTTTTGGGTTTAGGGCTCAATGGCACTCAGTCCCTTCTATGCCCAACCTTTCTTTCCATTCTTCATTTGTCAGTTTTCTCAGAACAGTATTCCCAGCCATGGCAGGCCATCCTGGGCACAATAACACTGCTTCATGGAATGCAGGCACAATACATTTTCTGACTACGTCCTTTCCCTGCTTTGAATTCTTCCATGACTCCCTACTGTCCACAGGCTATATAAAAGTTAATTTTACTCATAAAGCATCCGACTCCTTATTCCCCACTCAGTTTCCCAGTTCTACTTTATTATTTTGCTACTAGGCTTTCACACATGCTGTTCCCTCTCCCTCGAACCATCTCACCTGTCTCCTGTCTACCAACACATGACCATTCTCATCTGGTCAGCATCTCAACCTTAGGCCTCAACTGAGATGTCCTTTCCTCCATGAAGCCTTTCCTGATTCCTCTGGGCTTCTTTAGCACTCCGAGATCCCCACTATCATTGAGATTTGCTTCCCTATCTTCTAGGCTTATCTGTTGTATCCTCAATGCCTAGGAGAGGCCTGACTATTGTTGTTGTTGTTGTTGTTGTTATGTGCCGTCGAGTCAGCCCTGACTCATAGCGACCCCTCCTTGGGTTTCCGAAGCAGTATCACTAGGGAAGTAGGATTGCCCAAGGCCCCCTCAAAAAAGAGGAGAGTTATAAAATGTATCATGTGGTTGCCATTTTCCAAGATGGCCCCCAATGATCCCTGCCTTCTGATGCTGTGAATAGGATAATCTGTACAACCAATAAGATAACTGCAGAAATAATAGGTATGTGTCTTTCAAGGCTAAATCATAAAAGACATTGGACTTCTGCTCTGCTGTGGGGAAAGTCAAATGCCATGTTATAAGGACACACAAGCAGTCCTGTGGAAATTCCACATGGTGAGGAAGTGAGGCCTTCTGCCAAAAGCCAGTATGACTTGCCAGGCAAGTAAGTGAGCCACCTTGCAAATGGATCTTCTAGCCCCCAAGTTCAGCTTTCAGATGACTGGAGGTCTGATCTACATCTGACTGCAACCTCCTAAGAGAGCCCAAGTCAGAACTACCCAACTTCTGTATTCCTAGCCCACAGCATCTGTGTGAGATGAAAAATGTTTTGTGATAATTAATTATACTACAATAGATAATTAACACCTATCTAAAATGTCCTCTTTTCTTTGCCATAATAATTTTTTTAAGTCTTACATAGAAAGGTTCAATTCCATGTTT